ACAAAACTACCCTTGACTTGACACCTGCGACGTGACAGTCCATGGTTGTCTTCCTTCTTGCGTTTTGTTTTATGACTAAACTCTTTTATCTTTTATTCTTTTATCTTCGAGGTGACGTTTTTTTTCTGAAAAATCGCCCTTGTCTTTTCTGTCGTTGATTAGATTTCTCTCTTCTCTTTTCTATCTCTCTTTTCTGTCTCTCTTTTCTATTTCCTCCCTTTTCGCGCTTGCAGTTTGGTGGAGTTTTCCTTTTTTCTTTTCACTTTCTTCTTCATAGTTCTTCATGTGGCCATTATTTTCCCTTTCCTATAATTTGTCTCTATTTCTCTTTCCCCTTTCTCATATCTTTCTTTTATCCTATTTTTGAGTGTCTTCATAACTTCCCTTCTCTTTCCCCGCACTTTCTTTCTCTGCCTTTCGTATGCTTTTCTTCGTATCTCTTCCCTCCTCTTCCCTCTTACCCTCATCTTCCCCTTCCCTCCTCTTTCCCCTTCCCTCGTCTTCCCCTTCCCTCCCCTTCCCTCTTCCCTCATCTTCCCCTTCCCTCCTCTTTCCCCTTCCCTCCTCGTCCCCCTTCCCTCCTCTGCCCCCTTCCCTCCTCGTCCCCCTTCCCTCCTCGTCCCCCTTCTCTCCTCTTCCCCCTTCCCTCCCCTTTCCCTTCCCTCCTTCTTCCCCTTCCCTCCACTTCCCCTTCCCTCCTCTTCCCCTTCCCTCGTCTTTCCCTTCCCTCCTCTTCCCCTTCCCTCCTCTTCCCCTTCCCTCCCCTTCCCCTTCCCTCCTTCTTCCCCTTCCCTCCACTTCCCCTTCCTTCTCTTCCCCTTCCCTCCTCTTTCCCTTCCCTCCTTCTTCCCCTTCCTCCTCTTCCCCTTCCCTCGTCTTCCCCTTCCCTCCTCTTCCCCTTCCCTCCTCTTCCCCCTTCTCTCCTCTTCCCCTTCCCTCCTCTTCCCCTTCCCTCCTCTTCCCCTTCCCTCCTCTTCCCCTTCCCTCCTCTTCCCCCTTCCCTCCTCTTCCCCTTCCCTCCTCTTCCCCTTCTCTCCTCTTCCCCCTTCCCTCCTCTTCCCCTTCCCTCCTCTTCCCCCTTCTCTCCTCTTCCCCTTCCCTCCTCTTCCCCCTTCCCTCCTCTTCCCCTTCCCTCCTCTTCCCCCTTCCCTCCTCTTCCCCTTCCCTCCTCTTCCCCTTCCCTCGTCTTCCCCTTCGCTCCTTTCCCCCTTCCCTCCTCTTCCCCCTTCCCTCCTCTTCCCCTTCCCTCCTCTTCCCCTTCCCTCCTCTTCCCCTTCCCTCCCCTTCCCCTTCCTTCTCTTCCCCTTCCCTCCTCTTCCCCTTCCCTCGTCTTCCCCTTCCCTCCTCTTCCCCTTCCTCCCCTTCTCCTTCCCTCCTCTTCCCCTTCCCTCCTCTTCCCCCTTCTCTCCTCTTCCCCTTCCCTCCTCTTCCCCCTTCCCTCCTCTTCCCCTTCCCTCCTCTTTCCCTTTCCTCCTCTTCCCCTTCCCTCCTCTTCCCCTTCCCTCCTCTTCCCCCTTCCCTCCTCTTCCCCCTTCTCTCCTCTTCCCCTTCCCTCCCCTTCCCTTTCCCTCCTCTTCCCCTTCCCTCCTCTTCCCCTTCCCTCCTCTTCCCCTTCCCTCCTCTTCCCCTTCCCTCCCCTTCCCCTTCCCTCCTCTTCCCCTTCCCTCCTCTTCCCCTTCCCTCGTCTTCCCCTTCCCTCCCCTTCCCCTTCCCTCCTCTTCCCCTTCCCTCGTCTTCCCCTTCCCTCCTCTTCCCCTTCCCTCGTCTTCCCCTTCCCTCCTCTTCCCCTTCCCTCCTCTTCCCCTTCCCTCCCCTTCCCCTTCCCTCCTCTTCCCCTTCCCTCCTCTTCCCCTTCCCTCCCCTTCCCCTTCCCTCCTCTTCCCCTTCCCTCCCCTTCCCCTTCCCTCCTCTTCCCCTTCCCTCCTCTTCCCCTTCCCTCCCCTTCCCCTTCCCTCCTCTTCCCCCTTCCCTCCTCTTCCCCTTCCCTCGTCTTCCCCTTTCTCCCCTTCTCCTTCCCTCCTCTTCCCCCTTCCCTCCTCTTCCCCTTCCCTCCTCTTCCCCTTCCCTCCCCTTCCCCTTCCCTCCTCTTCCCCTTCCCTCGTCTTCCCCTTCCCTCCCCTTCCCCTTCCCTCCTCTTCCCCTTCCCTCCCCTTCCCCTTCCCTCCTCTTTCCCCTTCCCTCCTCTTCCCCTTCCCTCGTCTTCCCCTTCCCTCCCCTTCCCCTTCCCTCCTCTTCCCCTTCCCTCCTCTTCCCCTTCCCTCCTCTTTCCCTTCCCTCCTCTTTCCCTTCCCTCCTCTTTCCCTTCCCTCCTCTTCCCCTTTCTCCCCTTCTCCTTCCCTCCTCTTCCCCCTTCCCTCCTCTTCCCCTTCCCTCCTCTTCCCCTTCCCTCGTCTTCCCCTTCCCTCCCCTTCCCCTTCCCTCCTCTTCCCCTTCCCTCGTCTTCCCCTTCCCTCCTCTTCCCCTTCCCTCCTCTTCCCCTTCCCTCGTCTTCCCCTTCCCTCCCCTTCCCCTTCCCTCGTCTTCCCCTTCCCTCCCCTTCCCCTTCCCTCCTCTTCCCCTTCCCTCGTCTTCCCCTTCCCTCCTCTTCCCCTTCCCTCGTCTTCCCCTTTCTCCCCTTCTCCTTCCCTCCTCTTTCCCTTTCCTCCTCTTCCCCTTCCCTCCTCATCCCCTTCCCTCCTCTTCCCCTTCCCTCCCCTTCCCCTTCCCTCCTCTTCCCCTTCCCTCCTCTTTCCCTTCCCTCCTCTTTCCCTTCCCTCCTCTTTCCCTTCCCTCCTCTTCCCCTTTCTCCCCTTCTCCTTCCCTCCTCTTCCCCCTTCCCTCCTCTTCCCCTTCCCTCCTCTTCCCCTTCCCTCGTCTTCCCCTTCCCTCCCCTTCCCCTTCCCTCCTCTTCCCCTTCCCTCGTCTTCCCCTTCCCTCGTCTTCCCCTTCCCTCGTCTTCCCCTTCCCTCCTCTTCCCCGTCCCTCGTCTTCCCCTTTCTCCCCTTCTCCTTCCCTCCTCTTCCCCTTCCCTCCTCTTCCCCTTCCCTCCTCTTCCCCTTCCCTCCCCTTCCCCTTCCCTCCTCTTCCCCCTTCCCTCCTCTTCCCCTTCCCTCGTCTTCCCCTTTCTCCCCTTCTCCTTCCCTCCTCTTCCCCCTTCCCTCCTCTTCCCCTTCCCTCCTCTTCCCCTTCCCTCCCCTTCCCCTTCCCTCCTCTTCCCCTTCCCTCGT